AGACGCCATGACAAGGAAGCATCAATGACGGCGCGTGTTCGATGTTGAGGGGCTTACATGAGGGCGGCTGACTAACGTAAGAGTTCGGATAATGACTCTGATTGGCCTGATCTAAGTGCCAGATCTTTGGCACCTCTTGAGTACCGGGTAAGTTGTAAGGAAAGGCGGCCATGAGCCTAACCAGCTGTCTTCCATGGCATCATATCCCGTACCAAATATATCAAATGTTATCTCAAATTCAAGATTTTGGATTTGTTTGTTTGAAATAAGATTTTCGGGATATTTGATTGATTTGTTTGGTAATTTGATTGATTGAATTTGATTTGTGGGCAGCGCCGTCTGAAAGTGGTCGCTGAAGCCATCGTCAGCCATCACCCTCTTGTGCATACTGTTTTTGGTGGTCTCATCCATCAGAAAACCCCAATCGCTTCCTCTGCACTCCTTCTCTGATCTAGGGCCACAGGAAAGGCAGAAGCGAAGTAATTATGGAGGCGGAAGTAAGTTAGAGAAGGGGGGAATAGACCCCCTTACTAGCGCCTTGCTGTGATTAGCCAGAAACTTTTGTATTTACCCTTTTTGTGTGGCTTTAGTAAGCGGAATAAAGTAACGCCGGGAGTCTTGGCCCTGATTAGGCTTACTGGACCGGCAGCGCGTGAGCTTCAAATCCACAGTTCCAAGATCAAGTCGGCATATCCGACACCGACATACTGCCCAGATACCAGATGCTGGCGAAATCCCAAGGCTGTTTGTGAAGTCTCACGGAAGTATCTATTATATGAGGCTGAGAAGTCTACTTGCATTTATGATTGTCATCAATTTTCCTAATGACATCAACCACGCTTGGATGAAGAAGCTGAAGACGCTAGATAGATTTGTGAATGCGAAAGCGCTATACTTGGTATTCATACACTCGATGAGGGAGTGGGCTCCACTTCCACATGCATTGTCGAATGCAAGTATCAAATTCATTTAGAATGAAGTCGCTATCTCATGTATACATCTTTCTCGAGTTGGTCGACCTTATGTCATTCCACGCGCTTACGCGTACCTTGGAAACACAGCTTCTCTTTATCAAGTCCAGTAGGTAGACGCTTAGAACTGGTGATATATCTCTCTGACTGGACGAAGTGTATGTGTCAGGCTCTAGGATTCGTTGGCAACCGGCGCAAGAATAGATACCGTTCTAATTGCAGATTTCGTGTGTCCTACAACAAGTATTCTCTCACACCCAGTGGCTTTCGCTTCTATTTTTGTACCCATAGAATAAAGGCTGTCGTGAGTATGCTGCAACATAAGGGCTGCACAGTCGTGTAGCCCTATCTCAGCCTCGTTGATCGTGTAGCTATTGGGTCATTATTGTCACCGAGGCGGTTCATCAAAACTTATTTTAGGATATCGTGTCCCGAAATACCTTAAGATACTAGACTCGGCGAGTTGATGTTAGTCACATACGCCGAATACTCAGTATTGTTTGTCATACATCTTCACCCTTAATTACAACACATCTGGCGACAGAAATTTCTCGTCTCCACTAGACAAGAGCTAATATATATCTCAACTTCCGCTCTTGCCATCATGCCATTGAACTTTCTTTAAAAAATGATTGGCAAAAATAACCCGGGTATACAGACTCTCACTATGGTTGAAGCTGAAAGGCTAGACGTACCTCAAAAGCTTCCAACGATACCAGCTAACAGTTCCGACAACATCTGGCGAATCACGAAGGAAACGCTTGTTGATTGTATGGATGGTCGGTTCGGTCAATACTTTGATGATATGATCATTATTGATTGTCGCTTCAGGTACGAATATAATGGAGGCCACATCGACGGCGCTATCAGTCTGGCACCAAGGTCCGGGAGCCTCGTAGATACAAATCTGCTGGATGATTTGATTCCCGCCAAGTCGCATCAGATGCGCACAGTTATTTGTTTCTATTGTGAGCATTCGAAGTATCGTGCACCCATAGTAGCAGCGTGTGTACGGTCTAAGGATAGGCTATATAATATTGAGCGGTATCCAAGTCTTACATACCAACATATCTATATCCTAGATGGAGGCTATAGTAGCTTTTTCCAATCCCATCCAGATCGCTGCGTTCCACAAGAATACGTTCGGATGACCGACAGTGCGCATCGGAAACTTGGTGGAGATGAAATACACCTTCTAAGACAAGTCACAAAATCACCGAAGAGACGGCGTTCAGGCTTATATGCGACCTCAAACTCTCCTCAGAAGCTAGAGAGAGAAATAATCGAAACTTCACCCATTCCTTTCGAGGATGTTCGCCTTGAGAATCGTACGGGAGAAGCATGCGATGCGGAAAAGACTAAGGGCCAAATGATTGCTGAGTGAATATGCACTGTGGTCATCAAATAGCTTCTTTTGTACCTCAAATCCTATTGTTGCACCAGTGCTAGAGTGCATGCGGAGCTGTAAGCCGACGTGAAACATCAGGGTCCATAACAACACCCCTCCAGAATTGTTCTAGTCTCTCGTTTTGCTACCTTCTACAATCTGGATCTTTTCTATTCATCTATGCACTTGCCGCTTGGGCGTCCCATGTTAGACAACTGAGCATTGCAAGCTATCAAAAGCCTAGACACCAGCTAGATGCGCCCCA